TGAGATTTTGGTACGTTCATATCTTGCAGATTGTTGAGGACGCTTTTCTATTTGAAATTCTCTCTGTATTAGCGCTGTTGCTTAGAACAGATCTTTGGTAAATGGGGTCGGAAGGGCCTCCATCGGTTATCATTCATGTAACGGGGTTTAAGAAGTTCCATGGAGTTTCTGAGAATCCTACTGAGGCGGTAGTGAACAATCTCATGAAGTATATGGGGAAGAATGGTTTGCCTGAAGCTCTAACTCTTGGGAGTTGCAGCATTCTTGAGACTGCCGGACGTGGAGCTCTTGATGCGCTGTATAAAACGTTGGAATCTGCAGTAGAGGGGAAGGGCTCTGAACCCACTAATTCCAGAAGAATCATCTGGGTTAGCTATTCCTGCACCTACCTCAATCCTTAAGTTCAGGATGCATTAATCTGTGTTCATTTGCCATTTCCTTGGCTTAACTGTGATTTATGACTAAAGAAACTGCAAATCTTAAAGTGGAACTTACTCAAGTTTGTGCTGTTCTGTGTGATGACTTACAAATTGTTACTGTTCTTGCTTCAGCTTCACTTGGGAGTTAATAGTGGTGCTTCGAGGTTTGCTATCGAACGTCAAGCTTTTAACGAAGCCACTTTTCGTTGTCCTGATGAAATGGGATGGAAGCCTCAGGTATATAATTTGGTTACTCTGTGTTTATCTCTTAATCTTGTGGGTTTAGTTTGCGTCTATTTTTCTGGGGGTTTGATCATCTGGTATTTTACTTTCATCTACTGCAGAAAGAACCAATTGTACCAGAGGATGGTGAAATTTCACGTACACGAGAGGTAGGATTTAATTTATGTCTTTTGGAGGCCATTTTTCTGAGTATATTAGAACTTTAGGGAATGCCTTAGTGCTTGAGTTGTTTTTCTGCGTTGAGAACCAGATTTTCCTTCTCTTTTACAAAATACAGAGGCTGAGATATCAGCATCCGTTGAAATTTGAGGGTTAGTCGGCTCCTATGAAGCAAGAACACTTCGGTTAGGATTTGAACATATTGAACACTCTAATTCTTTGGTATTTGTCATGGTATTTGTCAAACATGTGTAAAACAACATTGAGAGAGCACTTGAAACACATATACAACACTTATCAAACACATTGCACTAGTTGAACACCAAAATTTTTTTAGTTCAACCGTATGTGGGGGAAGGATTTGAACCTTTGATCTCTTAGTCGAGAATATATGTTTTAACCGGTTAATATATGCTCAAGTTAGCATTTATTGAACACATTATGGTGTGGAGATTTGAACCTCCGATCTCTTGGCTGATGACATATGCTTTAACTCATGTTGACACTTATTGAACACATTTGAACACATTAGAGGAACAATGTTTTATGAGTATATGTTTTAGGAACGGATCTTTGATAATAGTTAATTATCTTTTACTAAAAGCATGCATTCGTGAAAATATTGAAATGTATGACAATATTCAAATGTAATTCATCTCATTGTGTCCCAGTTGTGTTGTCTGTGTCCATTCTCTTCTGAAGTTGGTGGTACAACATCAAAACATTTTAATGAATTGAATCATTTTGGGGGGTGTATTGTGTACTGTGAGATCCCACATCGATTGGAGAGGGGAATGAGTACCTGGGCCCGAAGGGGGTGGATTGTTAGATCTCACATTGATTGGAGAGAAGAACGAGTGTCAACGAGGACGCTGGCCTAGAAGGGGGTGGTGGATTGTGAGATCTCACATTGATTGGAGAGGGGAACGAATCATTCTTTATAAGGATGTGGAAACTTCTCCCTAGCATATGCGTTTTAAAACCTTGAAGGGAAGCCCGGACGGGAAAGTCCAAAGAAGACAATATCTGCTAATGGTGCTAGCGGTGGTGGGCTGAGCTATTAGACAGATGGCATAATCTTTTATTTGTAAAAGTCTAGCACCCTCTCAGCTGGTTCTTATTACTATCATTGATGGTCTTAGATTCTTGAATGTGTTTTCTTCTTTTCCTGATTTCTTACCCAACTCTGGCTTGCAGACTTCTCTTCCAGTTGAGGAAATAACCAAGACACTGGCAAAGAAGGGATATGAAGTGATGACTTCAGACGATGCTGGTCGGTTCGTGTGCAATTACGTGTACTATCATTCCCTCCGCTACGCAGAAGAGCACGGGACCAAATCGCTATTTGTTCATGTTCCTCTCTTCTTAACTATAGATGAAGATACCCAGATGCAATTTATTGCTTCCTTGTTAGAGGTACTTGCATCTTCAAGTTATTAGGCTTCCAATGTATAGGAGGAGGGTGTATTGGGGTGATGCTTGTTTATCAAAATGCTTGAATAAACCATATAATAATATGCTTCAAGGGCTAATATATGTATTTCAAAATATGTTATCCATACTCGGAGATGATTTCGGCTACTCGTCTGAGAACAATAACATTTGGAGCCTTCGATGCCTCGTTTATGAATCAAAAGTTAAGTTTGATCAGTTGTTTGCTTAATTTCTTTATTGACTCTCCTCATATTATATTATGTCATTTCTATCATGATGATCTCAACAAGCTATGAAAGATTTAGAGTGACGTCAAATTCTTGAATAAATGATTCAAGAATACGTAGAACTCGAAATGATTTGATAGATGAAATTCATAATAATTTGAAGATTCATAACAATCCAACTCAAAAGTTTTTGTTTTTACGTAGCTTTGAACTGTTGATTAAATTTGCGCAGGACTAAAAAGATAGAACACAAAGACGGTCACTTTCCCAGCTAGGTTAGTTATTGTCCTACGTTAGTGATAGCGATCATTTTTTAGTTGAGAAAATAAAAACATTATAGATTTTTTCTCTAGTTTCTAGTTTATGATGTAAAATTATTTTTGTAAGATTTAAACAATTGTTTTTATGATTTCTTGTAATTCTAGTCAAGTGTTCTAGTCGATACCGTATAAGAGCTGACCTACGAAACAAAACCTCACAACAATGTCGTGTCTTTCTTAGTACCTTCTGATGTTTAAGTTAGTACTAAGGTGAAGTAGTGATACAAAATAAGGCATTCTAACCATTCCAGAACCACATGATGTTGTCCCAAGATGACAACAAAAATAGAGTTGCATTAAATGAACTCATTTGCAACTCATGTTTCATTAAAGATAAATCCAGTTTCGTTTATGTAACTAGTATCTCGAGTTACTTCAAACTACTTCAAGTGGAGCTTCAATTACTCTCGAATACATTACAAACTGTAAGTTAGCTTGTTAGAATATTATTCTCGGTAGTGAGATTTCATTGTATGTTTTCAATTTTATAGTATTATTTTTAAGGTTTTAAGTTATAATTCATCTAGTGATCATTATTATATGATACTGAAGGGCACGAGAGTCACAACCCTTTAGTTGGTCTCTGATTACTCTATGGTTTATTTTCAAGACTATAATAATCATTCACGTTGTTTTACCATTAAAATTTTTGTTATTTTTTTCTTGTTTTGTCGTGTGAGTTTTTATAGATCTCATCCTTTTCTAAAACCTTGTATTTTATAAGATAACGAGTTCGTTCATTATCTTTCAAGTGAGCATGGTTAGATCTAAAAAAAATTGATTCAATCTACAATTGCATATATCGAGCCTAATTATATATTTAATTAAATTATTTGATAAAATTTCAAACATTACATTAACGTTGAATCATGATGGTGTAGCAAGAAAAACACTTTGCAATGAAAACGCTTCGTTCAAAGTAACTTCAAACCGAATACTCCCCATGTTAGTGATAGCATTAAAGCTTGCCACCATGGTGGATTCAACCAGAGAACAAAGGAATTAAGAGGAGAAAACTCAAAAAAGAAGTGAAAAGAAAGCTTTCTTGATTCCTTACATTTCCTTTCGAAAAAGAAGAATCAAATGAAATACGAACAACCACGTAACAAAGGAGAGGAGCAAAGACGCTTGACCTCATTCAATCAATTCAGGACGGAAGATGAAAACACCTATTTATTTACCTCGTGAAAGAATAGTGAAACTCGAGTGAAAAGAGTCTAAGAGCGAAGCAGCTTTACCGACAGGTTGAGAAGCGAAGCAACTCGACTGTAAAGGAGAGGAGCTGATCATCCAGCCGCTTTACCGAGTGCTTGGCCACAGGGTCTTCTGGGCAAGGGAAAGTGGTTTTAAAATATAATCCCAACAAGAATGTATATAAATTATGGGCCCTTCTGGTCGGAGGGTGTGGGGGCAAAGAAAAGATGTGAGTGAAGAGCAGGAAGAAGATGAAAGTCCATGTTCATAAAAGTGTACACGAGGAAGTAGATACATCATATCATATCATCATCATCTGCACGTCGAGGGCAGCCGGACCAAGAGATCCGCTCCCAACTTCACCTTAACTACGTCCAAATCCTAATACACATTAAAACACCCGAACCCGAATTCGATACACATGGAACATTAGATATAGAGAGAGTTGTTACCCATTCATTAAGAACATATCTAGATCTGCTCTTTCAAAACAAGGAAGAAGTAGGTAAGGTAATACAGAGATGTACTCATAGCAGCAAACAGAAGGAATAGCACAGACTCGGACGCCATAGCTTTCGTTGTCAACACGACACCACCGTTGAAATGGTTACGTTTCTAATCAAATTCACAACCCAAGAAATGAACACTGTTTTCTTGCATGTTCTGGTATCAATTTCCCCAATATCTCAACAGCCACACCCTTCAATTCTAGTCAAATGAAAGTCACATGGATAATTAGAGCATGTCTACTACAACAATTGGATAGAAATAAATTATTTGTGACCATACCATTAGCCTTAAAGTTGAATAGCGGTGGAAGGAAGCGTCCATTGGGCAGTCGGGTATTCGGATCACGAAGCTCATCAAAAAATTGATGAGTCAAGGCATCCAACTGTATCATATGTCACATGGAATTAGTTAATTCATATGTCACTGTGTCATAAAGACAACAATGATTTCAACCATGCTTGATGATATCAGATTCAATTTCACAGGTCCTTTTCAGGTGTAAATATTCATATTGTTCAACAAGACGACAACCCATATAAAGATCACTTTTTGATAGCCACCTATTCTTTCTTATTTATTCGTCTAAATCTGATAGAAGGAACCATTTTATAAAAGCGCGTCCCCTCCAATCAATGATATAGCATTTACAAATACAGCATAAGCAAGCTACTAAATGATAAGCCACAAATGAGCAAGTAAAAGGCTTAAATAGGCCAAGCTTGGGCATTGGAACCATTAATATACAGGTATATTTATAAATTAAAAAAGAAAAAAAAAGAAGGCGCAGTAGTAGAGGTTGGAAAAAACCGACTATGTAACAGCTCAAACCCACCACTAGTAGATATTGTCCTCTTTGAGCTTTCCCTTTCAAATTTCCCCTCAAGGTTTTTAAAACGCGTATGCTAGGGAGAGATTTCCACACCCGTATAAAGAATGTTTCGTTCCTCTCTCCAACCGATGTGAGATCTCATAATCCACTCCCCCCTCCCTCGGGACCCAACATCCTCACTGGCACTCGTTTATTTCTTCTCCAACCGATGTGGGATCTCACAATCCACCACCCTTCGGAACCCAGCGTCCTAGCTGGCACTCATTCCTCTCTCCAATCGATGTGAAATCTTTATAATCCACCCCTCTTCAAGGCCCAGCGTCCTCGCTAGCACTCATTTCTCTCTCTAATCGATGTGGGATCTCACAATCCACCCCCTTTCGGGGCTCAACGTTCTCACTGGCACACCGCCCGGTATTTGGCTCTGATACCATTTGTAATAGCTCAAACCCACCGGTAGTAGATATTGTTCTCTTTGAGCTCTCCCTAGGGAGAGGTTTCCACGTCCTTTTAAAGAATGCTTCATTCCCCTCTCCAACCGATATGGGATCTCACACACTCCCATCAGAATTTTAAAGCAAATCAAGATAATAGCCGAACCAGTATATCTAACTTTCTTTCATTTCATCTGAAAGCCCAAATACAAATACAGACATTATGCATTAGCATGGCAGCCTGCTGTGAGACCAGATACATACCGCTGAGCACCTTAGGTTAGGAGAGTATTGCAATAGTCTAGACACAAGGTCAACAGCTTCCGGTGGCATACGTTTGTGAAATATCTGCATGATAAGTTAATGCTTAAATACATAGATCAGAAAAAGCAACAAATAACTACATATGCATACAACATTTCCACATGCAATTACCTTGTGCCATGGGTGGGCTTTAATTTGAGGGAATTTATACTCTGTATAATTGGGATTCATGCATTTAATTTCTTCTCTGGTAGGAGTGCCCAAAACCTACAAAACCAGTAAGGATGAAGTAAAAAACCCGGAGGGAAAATGTAAATATCCTCACGCTCGCAACATTAAAAGAGCGGTTTCATGTTATCCAATAAAACTACCTTAATGATTTCAACAAGCTGGTCAACTCCACTCTCCCCAGGAAAAAGAGGCTGATACAAATAAATAAATCTTTAGGAAAAATCATTCAAAAAAAAAAAAATTCAAAATAGCAAACACACGCAATCAACTACCTGACCAAGCAATAGCTCAGCAAGAACACAACCTGCAGACCATATATCAATTGCTGAAGTATACTCTGTAGCTCCAAAAATAAGCTCAGGAGCTCTGTAGTATCTTGAACAGATGTAGGATATATTTGGCTCCCCTTTCACCTGTATACCAAAATGAAGATAATAGTATCTACTTGGTCAGACAACAGTAAAACCCAATGATCTTTTTTTCGTGAAAAAGAATAACATACCAGGACTTTTGCACTCCCAAAATCACATAGTTTAACCTGGTGAGTATGTGGGTTCACCTGCATAAATGGATAAAAAGAAAAAACAAATTATGTACATAGGTAACAGGAGAAAATAATGAGAACCATAACTCTTGCTTTTCTCAGCTTACCAAAAGGTTTTGAGGTTTAATGTCCCGGTGACACACCCCAATACAACGGTGGATATATGACAATGCTCTGAAGATCTGTGAGAATATTATTTAGAGAGAGATATAAAACTTAACCAATGTACACCGCACCGCTAATGGGTAACACCATCTTTATTCCGCATGATGTAGACTTTCAATATCATTAACTAACTGGCCAACATTACATTTATTGAAAAGATATTCAGAAGAACAATACCTGGTACATGTAAAGTTTTACATAGATCAGTGGCATCCTTTGATTCAACTTGTTGTAGTGCTTTATCACCCTATGAATTGTTTCCGGGACATACTCAAGAACAAGGTTGAGATACAGTTCATCCTTTTCGGTGGTTGAGAAGAAGCAATGCTTTAACGCGACAACATTTGGATGATCAAGAAGCCGCATAGTTTGCAGCTCGCGGTTCTTGTACCTTTTGTCTTGGAGAACCTTCTTTATAGCCACAGTTTCCCCAGTCTCTAAGCACTTTGCCTAAACAAGATACAGAAAGTGATAAAGGCATACACAAAGTACTCATCCCCGATATCTGAAAAAACCTGAAAATGTAATTTTTTAAAAAACATAAAAGGTAAAAAGCTGCCATCAGTTGGGGAAAACATTACCTGAAACACGACTCCAAATGATCCATGCCCGACAGCACGTTCTGCCATGTAGCTGATTGTCTGCATTGAAATACCAAGTACCATTAGAGGCACAACAAACAATGACTAACGATAATAAGTAGAGAATCCAGGCCAACTACATAACAATTTATATTTCAAATTCAAGACATAAATACAAAATGTATAATGAATCTCAGTACTTGGAAACAGAGAGGAATGACCAACATATGATATAAATGATGATCATGCAATCTACAAGAACTTTCACACTAGAAAATGTTGGTCAGCCCACTCAGAAAGTTGATATTCTTAAAATGAAGGTGATAAAAGGAAGAATTGAATATTATGCATTTCATACCTGCTTTGGGTAGCCATTTCGACCACCAATTGTTGTCACAATAATATGGCCTGTCTCAGTCCCATTGCCGTCGATAACAGTTGCTTCCACTTCCTACGTCATTGTTTCAACACATGAGAACTCATGGAAAAGACCACGAATGAATATGAAAACCAATTCATGTAAATGATAACGATTAGAAATGAAGCTTAAGAGCATAAGAAGATGCAAGCATACCTTGTCATCTCTAATTTTCATGTCATTCATCTCTTCGGGTAACCTATCAACACCAGCAGCATTATGACCAGCTGGTTCTCTCAAACTTGAGGTAGAAACAACACCCATAGAAGCCATTTCTTGAAATTTCCGCGAGCTTTCTTCAGTGAATGATCCTTATAAAACTAATCATTCACCTGTTCATATGAAATCAGATAAGCCAACTTGTTCACATACCTTGATTCCAATAACATCTACCGCATTACTCAATCCTCTCGTCACAATATCTGTGAAATATTAATATATGATCTCATCAACAATTTAACCCTGGTTTGGAAGAATAACTCTTACTTCAAAACGATTTAGACTTGGTTTATCCCACTGCACTTTCCTGGATGTTCTCAACTCATAAAACACAGAAGAAAAACACTACGCTAACTCGGGCACATGAATCCACAGAATGGTTAGCTTTATATTCGTTGACCATAGAAGAAAACGAAACCAAGGACCCAAAAGGTGTTCATATCTATCATTCTCTCGCGTCTAAATAGTTTTGGCTCAAACCATTTTTCATCCAAACCAACTCTAAACGGTAAAAGAACCCTCTCAAGAAATCCACCACAGAAACAAAATGTGATCTGAGCAGAAACAGGGGCATAGGTCAACATATACAGTAATCGGAGAAAAAAAAACACACAGTCTGTATGGGAATAGAACTCGTAGCTAAAGACTCGGTCCTAGGAAATCAAATAGAATATATACAATATTTGATAATTAACGCATCAATCCCGTCGGAAACTGCTGCAACAATCATAGGACGACAAACGAAGAGAAAAGCATAAGAGAAAGAAAAACATCAACAAGTGGATGATCCAGAAAAGTGACTCAAAATGATCAAACACAGGAACAGCAGCACGATCCAGGTAAAGAAGAGCCATTGAAAGAACAAAAAAAAACAAGAAAAAATTTGAAAATATAATAAAGAGAAGAAACTCGTTACCGATCGAATCTACAATTTGGAGACATGGAGGAGAAAACGGGTGAAAATCAAAGCGTGAGATCCGCAGGAGAGTTTGTTGTAGGGCGAGCGATGCGAAGAACAGGAGAGAGAGAGAGAGAGAAAGGGAGAGTTTTTAGTTTATTGCAATGTTGTGGTATGTGCTATAATGCGCCAAATAGGTGTCCTCTCATTTATTTATTACAAAATTAATTATTAATTAATTATATTTCTTCTCACCATTCAACCTTCCTTTACTTTCACCTCTTACCTCCTTTTCCCAAAAAAAAAGGCTATTTGATTCCTTTTCCCATCCTTTCAAAACCAATACAATTCAATTAACATGCGAGGGCATATTTGTCATTTCATAAGAAGAATTACGGGGTGTAAAACAAAAAAATATGTTGATTCGGGTTGGGTATACTATATTTAATTTATAACGGAACCCCGCCCTTAACCCATTAACGAAAAAGAAAAAATAAAGAGATACGGTCATTTCATTTCGACAAAAGACCCACCTCCAAGTTCCATAGCTTTGAGTCCGCTATCCCGATCATGATTTTCCTACCCCCAGAGGGAAAAGTCCTTCCCTTTGTGGCGTCTCGAGTCAAGGGCCCTTTTTTGCAAGAACGCCCAATGAGTTTGTCGTGCTGCTATGATGTAACGTGCAGTCGTCCCAAGGCAGCAGGATGTATGGTATAGGACTCCCTAAGTTATCGTATGCGATCATCTCACGTCTAATGATGTTGGTTAATTTTGCATATGAAATTACAATAATAGGCATCCTTTGGAGGTAGCGAAAAGGTCCCTTGGAAAGTAAGGCATGGGGCTAAAAATGGAAAATTGAAAAGACAGGAGCAAATTGATGTCTAGAAATAGAAGTAATGTAATGGTGGGGAATGGCAGAAGGCCAACATTTGCATGAAACCAAAGGAGAAATACAAAGACATGTGAAGATTAGGTCATGACCTACTTACTCCCTACGACTTCAAAATGGACTTCAAAACGTGGTTGAATAGCCTTAACAAGAATTCGGTTTCACCCTCAACAGGGGTTCGTGAAGATCTTTTTGATACAGATAATCTTTGATCTTCATCTTCCAAAAACCGAAATCGGGTCCATCAAACTTCTTAATTCCAATTTTTAAGTTTTCTATCTTCACAGATAGTGGTGAATCTCGCTTAGCTCTGATACCAGTAGTCAGGATTGCACAACACACATACTCAAGCATGTATACGAAAGAGCTATCTAAGTGATATATATATATATATATAACTGTC